CGTCCCCAATGGTGTGTTCACATCATCGATTTTGTGTGTGCACCAGTTACATGCACTGCCGACTGTTTCTCAGTTTTTCGCTCGGCTTGTTCTGATCAGCAGTGGTGTGTGTGTTAAAGTTGGTTTACTAATGGGGGGCAAGTGTTGTGCCTTACGGTTTTGTGTGTGTACAAATGACACACACTAGCCAACCGTCCCCAATGGTGTCTTCACGTCCCCGATGGTGCGTTGACGCCGACCCGTTTGGTGTGTGTAGAAAAACTACGCACTGCCGAATATTTGTCAGCTGTTCGCTCGGCTTATTCCGATCAGCAGTGGTTTATGTGTTAAAGTCGGTTCACTATAAGGGGCCAAGTGATGTGCCTTACGGTTTTCTGTGTGTAGAAATGACACACACTAGCCAACTGTCCACAATGGTGTCTTTACGTTCCCGATGGTGTGTTCACCTACCCCGAAAAGTGTGTGTACAAAACATACGTAGTGAGCCGACCGTTTGTCAGTTTTTCGCACGGCTTGTTCCGATCAACAGTGGTGTGTGTGTTAAAGTCAGTTCACTACTGGGGGCCAAGTGTTGTGCTTTACGGTTTTGTGTGTGTACAAATGCCACGCACTGACCAACCGTCCCCAATGACATCTTCACGTCCCCGATGGTGTGTTGACGCCAACCCGTTTGGTGTGTGTAGAAATGCTACGCACTGTCGACTGTTTGTCAGCTATTCGCTCGGCTTGTTTCGATCAGCAATGGTCTATGTGGTAAAGTCGGTTCACAACTGGGGGCCAAGTGTTGTGCCTTACGATTTTCTGTGTGTAGAAATGACACGCACTAGCCAACTGTCCACAATGGTGTCTTCACGTCCCCGATGGTGTGTTCACCTACCCCGAAAAGTGTGTGCACAAAACAGACGCAGTGACCCGACTGTTTATCAATTTTTTCGCTCGGCTTGTTCTGATCAGCAGTGGTGTGTGTGTTATAGTCGGCTCACTACTGGGGGTCAAGTGTTGTGCCTTATGGATTTGTGTGTGTATAAATGACAAGCACTAGCCAACCGTCCCCAATGGTGTCTTCACGTCCCCGATGGTGCGTTGACGCCGACCCGTTTTCTGTGTGCAAACTGACTGTTTGTCAGCTGCTCGGCTTGTTCCGATCAGCAGTGGTCTTTGTGTTAAAGTCGGTTCACTACTGGGGGCCAAGTGTTGTGCCTTACGGTTTTCTGTGTGTAGAAATGACACGCACTAACCAACTGTCCACAATGGTGTCTTCACGTCCCCGATGGTGTGTTCACCTACCCCGAAAACTGTGTGTACAAAACAGACGCAGTGAGCCGACTGTTTGTCAGTTTTTCGCTCGGCTTGTTCCGATCAGCAGTGGTGTGTGTGTTAAAGTCGGTTCACTACTGGGGGCCTAGTGTTGTGCCTTACGGTTTTGTGTGTGTACAAATGACACGCACTACCCAACCGTCCCCAATGGTATCTTCACGTCCCCGATGGTGCGTTGACGCAGACCCGTTTTGTGTGTGTACAAATGATACGCACTGCCAACTGTTTGTCAGCTGTTCGCTAGGCTTATTCCGATCAGCAATGGTCTTTATGTTAAAGTCGGTTCACTACTGGGGGCCAAGTGTTGTGCGTTACGGTTTTGTATGTGTAGACATGACACGCACTAGCCAACTGACCACAATAGTGTCTTCACGTCCCCGATGGTGTGCTCACCTACCCCGAAAAGTGAGTGTACAAAACAGACGCAGTGAGCCGACTTCTTATCAGTTTTTCGCTCAGCTTGTTCCGATCAGCAGTGGTGTGTGTGTTAAAGTCGGTTCACTACTGGGGGCCAAGTGTTGTGCCTTACAATTTCGTGTGTGTACAAACGACACACACTATCCAACCGTCCCCAATGGTGTCTTCACGTCCCCGATGGTGTGTTCACCTTCACGTCAGCCGCTGTTTGTTTTCAGCTATCGATTCACCACACATTGTTGTGTCATATCCCCGAAATTCAGTTTGGTACTGACGGTTATTTCATCTCCCTCTTTAGTTTCATTTGTGCACGGCCACCCTGCACTACCCGACTCTCACGACATGTGTCGTTCATGGTAGACAAACTCTCTCTCTCTCTCTCTCTCTCTCTCTCTCTCTCTCTCTCTCTCTCTCTCTCTCTCTCCCTCTCTCCTCTCTCTCTCTCTCTC